TAATAGAAGATAAGAATTTAGGTGTGAAAATCATGCTTCCTTAGTTTTTAACTAAAGAGTATTCTGTATCATAAATACAGTTTTGAGATTTTTAAAGTAACACACCTGCTTTAAAGTATGTTGAAACATCAGTAACTTGTGATTAATTTGATTGTGTGCAGTTCTCTGCCTGCATTGGCATGTATGCATTAGGAGCCATGGTTCCCCCATGCAATATGAAAGCCACATAGATTTGATATTAGAGCAGTATTTCCATAGATGGCAATGATCATTGCAGCATTTACATAAATATATGTATCTGTAATTCAAAACATGTGCAGTGTTTCGACAGGAAAAATGAGGAGAGGACCAAAATAAGAGTTTAATGTCTAGGTACCAAAGTTCTTTAGATATTTAATTCTGGACCAACATGGCGGACTCGACTGACGACTATCCTGAAACGTTTTAATGCTCACGCTTCTATTGAAAAGTAAATTAATGCACTTTTAGTTTTGCCCATGCAGACTTCTCGTGTTGGAAATATTTGTTTCATTCAGTGGTTTCCTGCTGTTTGACCTGTGGCTATCCCATTGCTAAGTGCTCACCTGCTTTTAGATAAATATTTGCTGTGGATCTGGTGGACCCTGACTCTGACTGCAACAGCACAATGGCACCAAGTCCCAGTGAAGCAGCTACTTAGCACGAGAGAGAATGTGAGCTATTCTAATGTGGGCAGACTACCTACAGTCTCAATCTGAACTTCTAATCAGCGGTTACATTACAGTGGCGCCATTCGCTAATTTGTCATTGATATTGCATCAAACATAATTTAATTGCAAATAAAATGAATGAATTTTATTGGTCATGAAAACTGAGTTGCAATAACTAAATAAATGTTTTGGCGCCTTCATGAACTTGCTCTTTATGTTCTGTTCTGCCATTTTGGCCGCTGTCTTCGAAATGACGCATTTAACGATTACATTTCCACTTATTCTGTACAGTGCATCAGATCTAATAACTGTTTATCTGATGGCTGATTCTTCGAATGAAATGTAGCCCAGTCAAAGTAGTGTTCATTGTTTTGGGGCTCACCAAACAAGACCCTTCATGGCTATTTCTGCTCCTTCCTGACAGAACAGTACAACCTTTAAGTCGCATATCAGCACTAATGTTCTCCTCTCTGTTAATATCTTTTCCCCCCCTTGTGTTTTACTTACTTTCTTATATTCTTAATTTGCTAGTGTGCTTATCCTGCTGCATGACCCAGTTTGAGCTAAGCTTTAGCTGTCAGACAGAAGGCTTCACATTTGACTCTAGAATACTTAAGAGTACTTTGGTATACACAGGAGTATCAACTCAATAACTACAAAGCGCCCAGGTATTCTGGCTTCAAAATAAGCCAAAATCATCACCCTTCCTTCATTGTGCTGACATTTGGTATGATGTGTTTGTCCTAATATGTTCTTTACATGCAACTTTGCAAACCTAAGCCATGCATCAGTCCATAAACTTTAGTATTTAAAATGCTAACTGAGCTCTTGGCTTGTTACGGTTTCTTACCTGGCACAAAGCTTGAGCTGACCTTGGGGTGAATTTGTTTGAATGTCCACTCCTGGGATTATTGTGGCATTGTATGCCTGCATGTCCCGGATCAGCAAACTGCCAAAACTCCTGCCTTCATAGAGTTGCTAACGCTTGCTGATGATCAGTTTCTCAGGTGCGTTTGAATAGGAGCAACTGGCTGCTACTTGCTCTTGTGGAGGAAGCAAGTTTAGTTTAGTTTTTTAGCTTTTTTAAATGTTTTAGTTTTAGTTTTAGTTTTTCGCAGAACTGCCTCTCTGTCTATTGCATTTTCTTATTACTTTAGTAGAAGTTGAGCAGAGCTCTGGTGGGAATAACATGAGGTCACTGAAACTCCATGCACTAATAGACAAGTTTACCCCCACAGGCACACGAGAAGTAACAGCAGAGTAAGAAAGATGTCAATCAATCACTGTCTGCACATGCCCACACAGCCCTGAGAAGATTAGACAATATAAGTGAAAACACCTGTGTGTGTGCAGCTATGGGCCGTCGAGCGTAGCATATAGGCTTTTATTGCAAATTAACTTTAAAGAAATGGTAGGATGAAATGAAGCATGGATGTTTTAAACACACTGTTCTGTTTGGTATTACTTTAGCTATCTTTCTGAGCTTATAACAGATAATGAAAGGGCCTAAACATGGTTTACAGTCAAGATAAAAGCATGCTCTTGTTCAAGTATGCAGACTAGATATTGCAAAAACTTGATCACTTGAAATTCCGTGCATGTGAACACTCTGGGTGATGACTGACTGCAGGTGGATGAGCTGTCAACAGCATGGGGCTGGGGCAGGGGCAGCGTCAGGTGAGAACACTGACCAGGCCCAAGGAGCCTGGGCCCCCGAAGGAACAGGGAGAGAAGAACGGTGTGCTGTTGAGCGCGAGTGATAAGGATGGGAGGGCTAGAATAACTTGTAACTGAGGTTGATTTAAGGCAGACGTAAATACTGTATCCTGTCATCTCCAGGCACACTTCACCATGTAAGACAAAATTCTCTAACCTCCTAGGACCTGGCGTCCACATATGTGGACAACACATTTTGGGTTATTTAGACCAAAATTCTCAATTTTGCTCTACAAGGGCCTGATATCCACTTACCAGGACATTATACCGCTACTGTTCTATCGAAATTTTAAACGAATATCCTAATATGTGGCTCTCGTTTTTCTTAGAAACAAAAAATTAGGTAAAAAAAAAAAATCTGGTAGTTCTATAGTTTTACGTTCATCAGGTCCCAATCAGCCCAAATATCAGAGAGAAATTATAAATGCATGCCGTGGAAGAGTTCGGGTCTTAGGAGGTTAAAACAGACATAATCCATTCTAGCGGGTAATATATTAGGACGGTGGTGACTGTGACAGACAGCATGAAATCAGTGAAAAAAGTGTTGCTCTTACCTCATGTTTTACTTAATTGGAACAGACTGTATCACGGTCGAGATATTGCATTTCACAACTAACAAGCATTCATGGAAGGGTTCCATTGAAGTAGTAACAGCCACTGTGTTGGAGCCTGTCTTAAATTTAGGCACTGTCTTTTTGCATATCAGCTGCTTCCATTGCTAAAGGGACTAGAATCATGTAATCTGATTAAGGTCATTTCCTGTTTAGAGTTAACATTCCTGTATTCCAGATGGGGTAACAGCTATAAAAGAGACTGTAATGACCCAAGGTGACTCACACATCCTCAACCTTGTGAATCTAATCAGCCGTCCAACATCCCAGTGGCAGTTATCCAGTGACCCTTTTAAGTTTGGTTTTGAGAACTGGCAGATAGTAAAACATACTTTGTTTCAAAAGTACAGTGGGTTGTTTATACAAGTACATAGTGCTAGCTAATTTGGGTCTTTTTAATTCAAATTGTTAAGGCTGGGACTGGAAATTGGCCAATGAATCCGGTCACCCGATCTAATAAATATTTGATTATTTTGTATCCATATCCATATGAGTATACAGCCCAACAATAAGCAAGAAAATCCAGCGGTGGTTGAGCTCCAGCTGGGATTTTCATAACCACTAAATCATAGTGAGACTTCATCAATCGCACAAACTCTGGCACTGAACCTGCCAACATTTACACATAGTTTGAAGGGTCAAAAACAGTGAAGCGAAGTCTGCGATACATGACGCGAGCAATTCTTTGGCCAATATCCGCCCAACAACACTGCGCTAAGCTGCATGAAAGACCTAATGAGACCGCACTTTTTCAAAGGCTGTTTTTTATTTTATTATTGCGGGCAGAGGAAGAATGTGCTACAGTAACACAAAGCAGACCCCGACATCGCAGAAATCCAGTCTTCAAGCAATGACTCGTTTAGTCTCGGATAAGGAGAGAGGTGGAGCGGTAGCAAAGATGAAAGGTGCTCTTAGAGGTTAACAGCAGTGATAACCTCGAGGCCTAATCGTTCAAAGCTAAAACGGACGGAGCATAGCAATGAAATTCGAATATAGGAAAAGAGCAATGACAAAGGCCCTCTAGAATCATAAAGCTGCCCCGTGCTATCACCGGTCAGTCGGTTATGTATGAGATGAAGGTACTAACTGGTGAAAATCCAAATGAGAAATGTCAGAAGAATGATACGAAACACTAACCAAGGATGAGAAGACTGGCATGCACAGGAAGGAAACAACCACCACCACGTTGACATCCTGTTTGCATTCATGCTCATCAAGCGGGCATCTTTTTCTAGGCGCACATCATTCGAATCTTCTGCTAGAAGCCATTATCATTATACTCTTCCTGTTTATCAGCCTCATGCCCTCACGCTGAGCTCACAGAATGATTATGGAAACTGTTGGATGGTAATCGGATTAGTCCGAGCACTTGACAGATCATGAGTTCTGTTGGAGCGGTCCCACCGCTTTGTTCTTCTGTTTAATTTAATAAGGTCTTACGGTACGAGGGGTCGGACGTGAACATGTACAACAACAGTCTGTCGTTACCTTGTCTTTAAACTCAGTAGCTCCGAATCAGCACCTGCTAAACACTGTCCATACAGTTCTTGAATTATCAGCCTTATTTAAAGATGCATCCATTGTTTTTTGGCCATTTGGGGGTCACAAAAATACTTTTTTCAATTCAACATCATGCACAAAAGTTGCCATAAAGCCAAAACAGTGAGCTGAACGGAGTTAAAACAGTAAAGCAGAGGCGACTTTTAGATATTATTTTACATTAGTTTGTTTCCGAAGGGGATTCTTCCTTTTCTCTTTCTGGTAGCTCTAATTCTGTAGAAGCTTGTCCTTTGCTTGTTGTATATTCTACAGTGGAGATGGAGAAACACATGGGTGCTAACTTAAAGCATCTGGGGTTCATGTCGAAAATATGAAGCCATAAATTGTAATCTAAATATAGCTGCCAGTGTGCTTGTTGTTTACAGTGTTTCTCTAACTCCAAATTAGCATCCACATAACTCACTGCTTGTCTTTCTGTTTTCAGGTGTCCTCATCTTGTGTTCCAGCAACAAACTATGAGTTGGTAAGCAACAGTCTTTCTTTTCTTTTTTCTTTTTTGTGTTAGTAATTGCTTCCATGCTGTACTTATTACAGTGTCCGTCTTGGTGCAGAATTGTTGCAAATAAGGTTGGAAAGTAACATGCTCTATCAGCTACACTAACACTGCAGTCACTATAGCAGATAATGGTCCATTATCTGGAGGCCCCCAGAGACAAACTTGTGATTTGGGGCTATATAAATAAACCTGACATTGCTTGACTTAACCGTTGTTTGGCAGCTCATTTTCTGTTCTGATAAGGTTATAAAGGTTATAGCTTTTGGAATAAAAGTTTAAAAAAATCTTCTGGATAAGAAAGGTAAATAAAAAGCTGTGCTATTGAATCTGCTATATCATGATGACGACTTTTGGTCTTTGAAATAACACAGAGCAAAGTGGGACGTATTCTGGGTATGAAAAGATTCTGCAAGAGCCATAAAATATTCGCTTGCTCAGTTGCCTTATATGGTATTGACATACGAGGCTGTGTTAGACTTGGATATGATTCGCTTGCTCACTTCATCGAATGTTGTGTGTTTAAATGGTTTTGGGCGCTTGACAAACCAAAGCAAATATCCCCTGCACTTTTCTGTGCTCACACAGAAAATATTTCTTGAAATTGTCTTATTTTGTTTTTAAAAGCAGCAGTAATTAAGAAAGAACATGTTATTATCCTTGCAGTTGCCTTGGCACTAGATGCCTTCTCCATGAAGACATCTGTTTGAGATGTGCAGAGGCATGAGGCTAAGCTCTCTGGGCATTGTTAAAGGCATGTGTTTGAGTTCATTGCTTTCTGAAACACCTTTGGGATGCAGAGGGCAAGATTTTACCACAAAAATAGACTTCACCGCTATCTGTTGGCCTCTATCAGTTTTCCCCCCACCTTTTTCATCTGACGCACTCCTGCAGCCATCACATGGACTAGGTTCAAGTTTCACCAATTTAGGTGTTTATCCAGAGTTTTAAGTAGTTTATTAGTAGTATAGTAGTATTTTACTAGTCAACGGTAAGGAAGAAAAAACAATTTATCCGCTAGACATATGTGTGTCATGTCAAAAATACACATATAAATAATATTGAAAAATTTTAAAAATATACCTTTTTTTTATGCATTTGTACAGTTGTGTAACAGACACTGTATTCATTATCATTCATGATGTTTTTCATAGCCACATTTTTCAAGCAGTGTGGAGGACACTTTGTTAGTAATATTGAAATACAGATTAAAAAAATATTATAATATCTTAATTGGTTGTGTATTGCTGAAGAAAGCAGAGACAAACAGTAACTGCAGGGCAAATCTCGACAGTCTATCTCTTGAGCTTGCCAAAAGGCGTCTCCCTCGAGGCTTTTATGCCTGCATTAAAGGTGCTGATTGCCTCCATAAACACGGACGGGCTGAGGTGTAAAACACTGGTTGACGTGTCTTTACTGTACTACTGAGGAGAGAGGAAGAAACATAGAAGTGTTAAAGCTGAGGGAAACAATGGACTTCAACACAAACAATGGCACTTTTTTTAAATTTTCTAAAGATACAACTGCAGATACTGAAGAGGAAATAGGAAGCATGAAAAATAAACACAATGGTGGACACCTGCTTTTATGCACCTGAAGTTTTCCAAAGACTTGTGGTGTTAATTTTTGTTGGTAAGCTTTGCTGTGTTTGGTTTTTAAAATGCAGTATGTATTACAGAAATGAGTAAGTTACTGTGTTTGTGCGTCACCTCTCTGGTGTGTGACAGGAAACTGGATGGTGTGTGTGTGTGTGTGTGTGGACGTGAGAGTGTGCATGCCTGCGAGGCCTGAGGTGTGCTCTCAGTCAGCTCTCCTCAGCCCTTGTTTGGTGAATTCCTTTGCTCACAGCCAAAGGCAACGTGATTTACTGCCCTGCATCAGGTACACTCTGATTGACCATATATTAACTCAGTTGGAGAAAAATGCTGAAAAAAAAATAGAAAGGTTTTGTTTTTTTTTTAATCCAGACATTCCAGTAAGATTGACGAGCTACAACTGGAAGAAATTCAACTTTATTACCAGATGATCGCGCTCCTTATGTAATGAATCTCATGCAGCTGCTACTCTGCTACAGATGAAAATAAGCAGTGCTTAATGAGTTTACTATTTTATTTGAATTTTGATTTTTTTTTTTTTTCATTTTTATTCCTTACTGGTCCAAACAAAAGTTAAAAAAAGTAAAATTTGGAAGCAACAAAATTGGTTCACAGCAAATGCATCTTGTTTTTGGCTTTTCATTAAACCACATCATCATGACTGCAATGAGGTGTTTAGTAGGTTCTGCGGGAGCTTTTGAAATCTTTGATCTTCCTCAGCAGGTGGAGTTGAAATTGCAGATGTTCAAAGCCTTTTTTTCAGAGCATTTGAAGTGGAGTTTATTATGTATAAAAACTCAATTTCAAAAGTCTTTTTTTTTTCTATTCTTGGATCCTGGCTGTCAACAAGAGTGCCTATCCATAATGCCCTTACTAGGTATGCAGAGGCCCTATTGTCCTGCTGTTCAAACCTTTTTTGAGGGGGAATGGCCAGTCAGAAGAAACTTCGCTGAATGTCAGGGTGGCCTTTAAGTGTGAGGACCTAAAACCGGTTGGTTTTAAACAGTATAAAAGATGTGCGATGTAGCTACTGGTTTGTGAACTTCTCGCATAAAGTCTTAAGCTGACTGATTTCTCGTAATCAGGTTGGTGTTTTGAAATTGGTATTAAGGAGTGAAGGGGTCAGCTGACAGTCAAACCGCATGTTCATTGGCTAAGAACCATCACATCCTGTATAATTCTCCTTTCAGACTCTAATAATGGCAATAATTCGCAAAATGAACGTAATCGTTTGTTGAATGTGACCCCAAAGTAGTGACTGAGCCTTAAAAAAAATTATCAGGATAATGTCTACAAAGGTCAGAGGGCTATTTTCACCATATTCTACAGGAACAAAGTCATTTTGCAACTACAGCAAACTGCCCCCCTGGTGGTCATTTAATAGACTGCAGGTTTAAGGCAATTCTGCGAATCCGAGGGCCCTATAAAGGCCCAGTAAAAGATGAAAAATGATTATTTTGAACTTTAAATGACGCAGACCTACTCTAGGAGATACTAAGAATAAAAGTAGGGAGCTGTACTGTAAATGAGCATAACTGATCCCCTTATCACAACAGCTGGGAGTAAAAGAGTGCAGACTTATCACCATTATTTAAGTGTTAAGAGAATTGACTTTTCTCATTGCTTAAGGTAAATCTGTCTCCATAGCAACTGGTTTAAGGGCACAGCACAAAGCTAGTCCAACAGTGTGCAGGGCACTGTGTGAACTAAGCTGGATAGATGCAGCTTTTAAATGTACTTACTTTTATTCTGGTCTCAATCAAACTGTGGATGATAAAGCCAGATGAACGGTTAGAGTAATAATTTTGTACTTATGAATAAAACTTAACAGCACCAGCATTAAGTCAATGATACTGTGAAATTGGTGCTTAGTGATTTTAGTATGTTGTAGCAATATACTGGTGACTACCTCTGGAGTGAATTTGAAATGATTCAGCCCACGGCTGGAAGGTGATGCCAACATTTACTGTAAGTGATGATGTGCGTTTCAGATATCTTCAACTGTTGAAGATGACAGCAACTGCCTCCAACTAGCCCCCTCTTGGGTGAGGGGTGCACAGTGTGCCGTGGAGCATGCTGGGAGCATTCCTCAGATATTCCCTCATGTTGAGCTCATGTTGCCAGGAATCAGTTTTATTTTGCACAGCCCTTAAATGAGGGTACGTGGGCTGTCGTGGAGATGTTAGGTGTTCTCACCGGTGAGATAGGCTGCACATTTGTTCTCGCAAGTAAAGATAGGCACACACTCAGAGAACCATAAACCACTAACACCTACGTCATCCACCATTTTTTTTAATATAGGTCTTGTGTAGTCAGGGAACAGGGCCAGGACATCGCTGAGTAATGAGTAACTGCAGGGCAAAGATGGTGTAGATGTGGTCCAATTAGTGCTGTGTTTAGAACCACACATATTTCCCCGATGTGCCCTGTGTTACGCTGTGTATACAAGCAGCAACCAGGGATCCGGTTACAAATTACAGAATGTTCGCAGAGCCCTGGGAAAGCAGGAACTAAAACATAAAATAGGCATGTTTAACATTGGACTGAGAGCCAACTAAAGCATAATGCATTGGTGTTTGAAGTGGATATTACATAAAGATGCTGTGTGAAAGATAGGACATCATGGTCAAGTTTTTCCTCTTCCGGCACTTTGGTTTAGACAGTAAAAAGAATTAGTTACATACTGCTCAGAGTGACTTCCCTAAGGAGATGGTTGTTAAACAACTAGGAGAAAGTAACTTTCATGCTTTTTCTATCCAGTTCCATAGAATTCCAATCCAAATGCAGTGTGCATGTTCTAGAGATTCAGTTCTTTTTTGTGAACATATAACATTTTAAAGCTCATACAAGTTTGGTTGCTTTGCATCAAATTGCAAAGCAAAATGTATAATGCACCAAAAGTATATACCAGTATACTTGTAACTGATACACTGAAAATAACTGAGCCTTTTGGTTTACAATGGTGAATTACAATTGAACAGTGGCTTATAAATTGCAGTTTTATGAAGTCATCCCACAAACTTAGTAGCTGCAGTCCAAGTATTTCCAGCTCTGTTCACTCTGACCTGATTACCAGAATGGACTTTTTTTTGCGTGCTAAGCAGTTATTTATTTTTACCAGTGTTAGAAAACACAGTATGAAGACTGTCAGTTTAGATTGTGGTCACTCAGTAACTGCAAGGTATAAGATGCCAATATATCCCTCCCTTTATGACTGCTTTAGTTTTGTTGCTATTAATAATCAGCATGTTTGATGGCTAAAACCAAAATAGACCATCTTTACTTGAAAAATCCTGACAGTTACCCCTCAATAGTTTTACACAAACAATGCCATACTTAGTAGGGAGTCTGGTTGGGGGATTTGTGTTAACACAG